GCTGTCCCGTCCGCGTGGCGAGGTCCCGCGTGGGGGTGGCGGCGGGTGGGCAAGGGGAGGGGGGCGAGTTACCTCTGCCCTGGCCTAAGGGGGTCAGTTTGGGTGCGTTTCGTCACTTTTGCAGTAAGGAGAGCTGGTGGGGCTTCCCGCTGGTCTGCAGCCAGGCTTCCTGCCCGCCTGCATGCAGTGTCCACTGGTGTTCCCCAGCCCTCACTGACCCAGGTCCTTCCCGCGCCCCCTAACCTCCCGCTGGAGCATCTTGTCCTCCTCATACACCCAGGTCTCCTCCTCATGCTGGCTCCATACTTCTATGTTTCCTCACAGACACTGCCTGTTTGGCAGGCCCAGGGGCTTTGATGTGCCCTGCTCGTCACCATCTGTGGGGCACGGGGGACTCTTCACGCTAATGGTGTCCCCTCTGTCATCTGTCTGCTGGTTTTGATGGAATAAGCACAAATCCAATCGAAGTGAGCCCACCTTGCCCACTGTCTTGAAAGCTGATTTGGGTCAACAGACTCAAAGGAGGAGACAAGCAGCGATTTGTATAAGCCACATGCCTTGAGGACACCGAGTTAAGTGTTAGGAACAACAGCAAAGGAAGTCTTCCCTGCCCGTGCGGTCTATGTCTCTGGGATTTTGTGTATTTGTTCATGGCCAACTGCTAAGGACTAGACACTGTGCTTGAGTAATATTGACCAACAAATATTACACCCCTCACTATTCAGAGGAATGGGTACAAGACTACAGAAGCCGGGCTCTTGCTGCTGGGCAAGGCAGACGTCTGCAATTTGCAAGGGTGGTTGTGTATGGAAGTGGGGCACTCAGAGTTTGCAAACACAGGTGCCGGGACCAAAGCTCTGTGCAGCCTCCAGGCAACCTGCAGGACTGAGCACAGGCTCCTGCCTCTCGTGTCACAGAATCACAGCGTAGCTGAGGTTAGAAGGGAGCTCTAGAGATCATCTAGTTCAAGCCCCCTGCTTCTTGTGGGATTTAATGCCCGGTTTTAATGCCATCCACTATCTCCTCTTGGGATCCTTGTGGGTTATTAGAGCAGCTCCAGCCTGGTCTTGCTATGCACTTTCAGTCCTGGAGCACTCCCCACTCATCGCAGAATCACAGAATGGTTGTAGTGGGAAGGGACCTCCGGAGATCATCTAGTGCACCCCCGCTTCTCAAGCAGATCACATAGAGCATATTGCCCAGGATTGCGTCCCAATGGCTTTTGACTGTCTCCAAGGAAGGGCACTGCACAACTGCAGCAGTGCTCAGTCACCCTCACAGTAAAACATGTTTTTCCCAATGTTTAGATGGACCTTTCTGTGTTTCAGTT